ATATTTTAGAACTTCCTAGTTATCTTTCTCTTACTGATTTCTAGTTTAATTCCATTGTGATTTGAGAACTTACATTATATGATTTCTATGCTTTTAACTCTGTTAAGGTGTGTTTTATGGCACAGAATGTGGTCTATCTTGGTGAATGTAAACTTGAGAAGAATGTGTATTCTGCTGTTGTTGGATGAAGTATTCTATAGATGTCAATTATAGCCAGTTTATTGATTATGTTGTTAAGTTCAACTATGTCCTTTTTGATTTTCTGTGTTGGACCTGTCCACTTCTGTTAGAGGGGTATTGAAGTCTCCAACTATGATAACAGATTCATCTGTTTTTCTTAATAGTTCTATCAATCTTTTGCCTTACGTAGTTTAATTTGATGGTCTGTGGTTAGGTGGATATATATTAAAAATTGTTATGTCTTCTTAGAAAATGGACTCCTTTAGCATTATATAATGCCCTTCTTTATCTCTGATAACTACGCTTGCTTTGAGTTCTGTTATGTCTGAAATTAATAAAATAGTCCCTCCTTTCTTTTGATTAGTGTTAGTATTGTATATTTTTCTTATCCATTTACTTTTAATCTATATATGTCTTATATTTAAAGTGGGTTTCTTGTAGACAACATATAGTTGGGTCCTGTGTTTTGGTCCATTCTGATAATCTGTCTTTTAACTGGTGTATTTATACCATTGACATTCAAAGTAATTATTGATATAGTTGGATTAATATCTACCATATTAGTTACTGCCTTCTGTTTGTTGCTTTTGTTCTTTGTTCCTATTTTGTCACCTACTCTTTTTCTGTTTTGTGTTTTTTTCCCATATATAAGCAAAAGCTTATTTAGAAAGTCACAGAGGTAGAAGAAGTGATCCAGCTGGCTGAGGGGACTCAGGAAACAGGTTACAGAGGCAAAAGAAGGACCCTTGCAGCTTAGGAGAAAGAATAGCAGAAAGAATGTGCATGGGGTAGGGGCGGGGGAAAGGCACGGGTATGCTTTAGAGAGGGGGGAGAGAGCTGCTGGTTTTGTGGTTTTAATTGCACATTTTATATGATTCCATTTTCTCTCCTTTCTTAGCATATCAATTAAACATCATTTTAAAAATCTTTTTTAGTGGTTGCCCTGGAGTTTGTGATATGCATCTACAGTGAACCCCAGTCTACTTTCAGATAACACTACAACACTTCACAGGTGGTACAAGGCCCTTATAATAACAAAATAATTCTAATTTCTGCTATTGCCTATTCTAATTTGGACTTTTAATATTTACCACTTAGAATAACCAGTTTCATAACTAGTTTCTCTATACCCAAATTAATTTTATTTGCCAGTGCCAGTTAATCTTAATATGTTACTGATGGAATTTTTTTGTCTTCTCTACCCCCATTAAAAAAAAACACTTTGATTTTCCCTATTTCCCATTACCTTACCTATTACATGTGGTGAGTACGCAATCATTTCTTATGGCAACGAATCATTTTGTAGAGTAGAGGAGAGTGATCTGGAAATGTAGGCTGGGGTCTTATTATGGATTCTTCGAACCCCAGTATGAGGATACTATGGATACTGTCTTTGTTGGGGATCCTCATGACTCCCTCCAGGTTTGGTGATTTGGAGGACTCATGTGACTCAGCATATAGTTGGACTCATAGCTATGATTGATTATAGTTAAAGGATACAAAGCACAGTCAGTAAAGGGAAAAGGCATGTGGAGCAAAATCTGAGAAAATTAGGTGAAGGCATCCTAATTTTCCATCCAAGAGTCTTCTCCCAGTGGAGTCACATAGAAAGAACATCCTTAATTCCTTCAGCAGCAGATTGTGATAATGGGTGTGAAATGTTTTGTGTTAGGAAAGTTTGTGTTAGAGATTCAATGCTTAGGGTTGGCGGGGGTGCTGGTAATGGTAACATAGTCCTCTCTACCCAGTACATGCCAAAATTCTAGACTCGTAGAAGGAACCTAGGTGTTCAGTGTGAACCACATTGCTCATCCATGGTGGAGACATTTATGTACAGTGAGTAACTCATACCATTTCTGGGAATCGTGGGAACCCTGTTGGAATCCAAGTTCCCAGCCAAGTGCTCACCTTTGTAAGCAGGCTTTCTAAGGGCAGTAGTCTCATGCATGCACACTATTTCTGCACACTCTTCACACTTAATGTGATTCTATAAGGTGGGGAGGTAGGTTCAAGGGTTGCTTTGGACATAGGGGTGGTATGGGTGTGGGAATAAGAGAGATGTGAAGAGAGCGGGACTTTGTGTCCCCCTTCCCGCTTATCTCTAAAAACTTTAGGATTCCATGGAAGGTTTTGTATGTAAAATAGGCACTGCTGTTAATATTATATTTGAAAACCATTCCTTTAAACAATGAGCTGAATTTCAAGCAAATTATTGATAAAGTCACATTTGGATTTTAGCAAGATCATTCCTGTAATTGATGGAAGATACTTTAGAGAGTGTGGTTGTGGTAAATTTGGGACAGGCAGTGATCAGAGTCAGGGAGGCTAAGTTAGAGATAATGCGAGCCTCACACTACTTCCCTTATAGTATGAGGAAGAGAAGAAAGAAATGGATTTGAGAGTATTTAGGATGTAAAATTGAGTAGTATTGATGACTAGTTAAGAACCTGGATGAAAGAGGTTGTGGGATGGAGTGGGGAGGAAATTAGTATTACTCTTGAGTTTCTTACCTTAGTGACTCCAGAAAATTAAAGGAGGGGGTGGAAAAGAGCGTTTCCCTGGTGTGAGATTCTCAAATTCTTCAGTACTAATGGGTAGCCAACAATTCAGTCCAATTCTGACACTACCCGAGTTGTAGCATCAGATCCAACAAGTTAAAAGGGCTCTGTTCCACTAGACTGGCCCCATTTCAGATGCCAGCTGCAATGGGCTGCACAGGCTACCGCACTTCTGCATGGCTGACTACAAATTTAGGGGTTCCCACAACTCCCCACCTCACGTTTGATAATTTTCAGGAGATGTCTCACAGAACACAGAAAAACACTTTATCTATGTTCACCAGTTTATTATAAAGGATACAATTCAGAAACAGCCAGATGGGAGAGATGTGCAGGGCAAGGGTTCAGAGTTTCCTTGCCCTGCCATGGTGTGCCACCTTCCCAGCATTTCTGTGTTTATTAGCTCGTAAGCTTTTCAAATCTCGTGCCTAGGAGTGGTTGTAGAGTTTAATCTCTAGCCTGTACTCTCATCCCAGGAGGTGAGTATGTGGAGAGGAAAGTTCTGACCCTCTACATACCTGGCCTTCCTGGGGACCAGCCCTGTCCTAAGCTACCTTGGGGTCCTGCTCAAAGTCACCTCACTAGCATAACTCACACCTAGAGGTTCTCATTATGAATAACAAAAGAGACCCCTATTAGAAAATTCCAGGGGTTTAGGAGCCCTGTGTTAGGGACTGTTTGGACAAAGACCAAATATATTTCTTCTTACACTTTACTGGTAAATACCTCAAATTGCTGGAAACCTTTACAAAATTCTTAACCTATGCCTGCGGCTTCTACACTGAACCCAGGCCTTTTTCTTGGTCCTGTGAGGCCCAAGTTTCTAGGAGACTCTTCGATTCTCTTTTGCAGACTGTTAGCCCTATTAGTTAGGGTACAATTTAGGCCTCTGTAACAAAGACACCCCGAAATACACTGCTCGAAATGTTAGCTAGAAGTTTATTATTCTTTTACATAAAAATCCAAGCGGGTGGTCCAGAGCTGTTGGCAGCTCTGCATTGTTGGAGGACTTTGCTCTGCTTTGGTCAGCATTCCACATGCCTCCCCTTGCCGGGTTGACTCTTCCAGCTGCACTCAGGCACTTTCAGTTCAGTCAGAGGGAAGGGAGGAAAAGGGTGGGGGGATTTATTCTTGCTCTTTAAGGGCGACGTAGCAGACCTGCACACATTTTAGTTCACATCCCATTGGTTAGAGCCGGTCCTGTGGCCAATCCTGGCTGTAAGAGGGACCAGGAAATGGAATATTTAATGGAGCAGCCTGTACTCAACTAAAACTTCTATTCAGGGAAGGGAGAACAGCTATTAGAAGATAGCCCTGCCCTAACCCCAATATTCATAGTTTATTTAGAATTTTTTTTTCTCTCTCTTGGGAAAAAGAAGAGAATAACATTGTGACTATTAATTTTTTTCTAAAGTGAGCAGTTTTCATACTGAAACAGGAAACATGCAAAATCCTTTTCTAAAGAGATGTTCCAGTTCACTGCTGTTTATTGTTGCTTCTCGTGGGGAGTGGGCGTGGTAGGGGATCACAACAGGGGAAAAATTGGGACAACTGTAATGAACAATAGAAAAAAAAGGTATGAAAAAAAATAATTACCCACTCATTGAATCTACTACCCCAGATAAGGAATGCAGTTATGATTGGACCTTATTGTGGACAATCATTTCTCTCCCAGAAAGGCTTAAAAAAGGGATCAGAGCACCACCCTGCTTAGAGATGGACACTGTTGTATCCCAACTGTTTGTGTTCAACCTAAAGGTTATGGCAAAAGGAAGGAATCTCATAAGCAGGGGGCTGGAATCATGGGGCAGTGTCTCAGTGTTGTGTGGTTTTGGTTAGAGAATAAAAGTGCAGTAGATAATGCTTTGTAACTAGTCTCTACATCTCTGCCGTGGTACTCAAGAACCAGAATTAGGCCTAACTCAAAGCCCTGCTGTGGCGAAGATCTGATGAACCCAGATGGCTCGTTTAATGGAGTGGAGGCAAAGCAGGGACCGTACAACAGGTTAGACTTTCTAGAAGAGGGATTACAAGTACAACTTATGGGTTTGAGTTTCTTACCTTTTATTAATATGAGATAATTATAAATATGTAAAATTGTTTTACATTATTCTTATCAAAATGATATTTACAATAACTGCTCAGTATATTTCTTGTAACTGGTTTAATTTTTTAATGTGACCACTAAGAAACGTATGTAGAACACTATGAAATATCATCATTTAAGAAAGTCAAAAGTTGTATGTATATTTTTGTTTATAGCCTATACAGTTCAGACACCCGAGAGTATGCCTCCAACTGCGACTACAGAAGCTTATTTGAAAGCTCTTGCTGTTTGCGACGGACCTCTGCACCACTATGACTTTCTGATCAAAGCTCATGAGTTAAAGGATGATAAACATCAAAGAAGAGTCATAGAGTGTTTGCAGAAATTACACGAGGACCTTAAAGGATACAGTATAGAGGCAGAAGGCCTTTTTTCAAAGGTGAGGTTTATGTGATGCAAAAGATTAAACAGTTAAAAGTGTAAGCATTTTATAAAATGGATTAAATGCAGTCAGGTACAACCATGAAAGAGCTTGAAAATTTCCCACCAGTTTTTTAAACAAGCTCTGTTGATCCCCATATTTTACCTCTTCATATTCCATTGCCCCCCCCGCTTTTTTTTTTTTTTTTTTGCCTTGTGGGTTTTCAGATTGTTTCATGTTTAGGTCATAACTGATGCTGTCCAGTCAAAATGAAAACCTGCACCATTCAAAGCTTCCCCTTTCTCTTGTTTGGGCATGGCCAGGACCAGCAGTGGAGAAGGGGGAGTGATTTGTTCTCCTTTCCCTCCTCCTCTTTTCTTTGCTCATCTGGCTTCTCTAGGGTCAGAATGAGAGGGACAGAAGATTAGAGGGAAATATCAGAGTCTTAAGTGACCAGGTAAGGCCTTTGCTGTGATAGATGATGACATGCTAGCTCTTTGTTGAGGGTCACGTTAGTACCCCTCCCCCCAGTGCTCCACCAATGAGGGCCACATCCCCCTACCCCCAGTGCTCCACTCTTTGGCCTCTTATGACTCCAGCAGAACACCCCACACCACTACATTCCTCTGGCCCCCTTTTGTACTTGCACTTGGCCTTTCCTTTCAGGACAACTCTAGCCAAATAACCTTTTCTGGTATCCACTGAGGCCACAAGAAGCATAACATTTCCTTTCTCCAACTCCTATGGCATAGTCAGCCTCCTGCCCTTGGACTTCTGCAGATAAGAAGTAGGTACCAGTCTCCGCCTTTGTCCTGTATTCTCCCATGATCCTGGGGACATGTCAAGTTCTTCCATGAGCTCTTCCACACCCTACTTTGATAGCTGACTGTGGATTTCCTCCCCTAAGCAAGTATCTAGCCCATCTCATCTTGCACTCAATCCTTATCTCTTTAGATGCTTCTCTTGGGATACCCTGTACTTGGCATGAGGTTTATCTGGGGGAAATGCCACAAGGTTTCTTACCCCGCTAACAGCTTTCTACCTTAATGACTTTCTTCAGTTCCACTCTGGCTTTAGAGCTGATTTTTCCTTTTTAAATAATTCCTGGGTGGATATGACTAGAGCCTCTCTTAAGAGTGTTGGAGAACTTGTCTCCCCTTATTTTCAGCTTTGAACTTTTATTGAAATTGCAAGATGACGGGAAAACTTCTATTCCTGAGCCCATTATAGAAGTCAGTGTCAAAAACACGGGGGGTGGGAGGGCAAGGGGTGGGGTGATTGAATGTGGGAGATGGGGGGTGGGTAGGGCAGGAGAAAGTAATCGAGGGAAAGCGGGGACAACCATAACTGAACAACAATAAAAAAAGTGTTTCAAAAAAAGTCAACGTCATCAATGGTGGTATCTTCAAATTACGAAGGATATTAATAGTAATGAGTTAGATTATGGTTGAATATAAGAAAGTAGTTTTCCTTTAATTGGCCAAATCACCTCCCCCCTGCTCCCACACATGAATATTTGTTTATTAGAAGGTCTTTACAAGAAAGATATTGTATAACATGTGTTAGTAGTACTTTATTTAAAAACTACTAAAAGTACTTTTAAAAAAGCACTGAGAATATAATAAAAATTGTATTTTTATATAAAGAAAAAGGCTATTATTGTGTTAATATCTTTTGGTTAAAAGGAATAGTGTTTCATGTAGGTTACAGAAAGAAATGGAGATTTGGAATAAGACTACATATGCAAATAGCAATGAAGGGTATCTCCATTACATAGCCAGGCCTCGTGGAGCTTGAGTCTGCAGAATCAGTGGCTCCAAAAGCTTTGATGATTTGACAGACCATAGGAGCAGGTAGTGGTTACTCCAGTGCTTTTCTATTTCTGTAATCCTCTTCCTCTTTTGTTCTTTTACCCCCATGTCCATTTTCAATTCTGTTTGTTTTGCGAACTTATAAATTCTCGACCTGAATCTGTGGTTTAAATCCCTGAGTAAGAATCTGATGAGCTGTCTGATCACTTTATCAGTGTTGGGCCAATGTTCACACCGGTTTTTTCAGAGGCCACCAGCCAGTGTAAAGATTGGATCTCTGCATAAGTTTCCACCCAGGCCTTCTGTGAGCATGGCAGTTTCCCTCTGAAGTAGACCATGAGGATGATAGCCACTATGTTTGATTAGTCCAGCGTAATGGTTATAGGAATTAATGATGAATTACCCCTTTTGATAGCCAGCCTTTCCTCTTTTCCCCACAGTTCCGAAAGTTTTAGGTGAGTAAAGAACTAAAAATTTTGGAAAATAGATTGCTTATGTACTGAATCCTAATTATAGTTTGCAATACAGGTAGTCTTCCAAATAAAATAACTTGGTTATGCCCCATAGCCAGAAAACAAGATGTTTTACTTATCTGGATTTTTTGGTTATCTCAGAGTTAAATTACTCTCATGAATTAATATCTTGTTTCCTTTCTAGTCCTCTTCCTTTTGGAAATAATAGTCTTTTTTCCTCCTCCCTACTCTGTATATCTCTGGAGCTCATCTTGCTGTGGTTGGTGAACTTCCATCCAATCAAAAGTATTCTTAGATCATTAACCTGTCTGGTTGCCCATTCAACAATGTGGTTTTTTACTTAAAATTTTTGTTTGGCAAAATAAAACCCATAAGTCAAAAAAATATTGTTTGGCTCTTTTTAGGGGTGTCCTGCCACACTTCCGCCTTTGATTTCTGAATTGACCGTGTTGGGTCTACCTAGTAAATAACCCTGGTTTTATTGTATAGTTGTAATCTTATCTAAGTAAGAGATTTGACATGTTAGCTAGTTTTCAGTGTGTCTAATAAAAGCTTATATTTGTTAAGTGCAATGCATATGTGAATAAATGTTTAGATGTTAGATCAATCTCTTTGTGGTAATATTTCTCCTACTGTAATTTCTTCAGCCCACCAGATCTATTCTTTAAAGAATTTATTTATTTATTTTTAGAGAGAGGGGAAGGGAGGGAGAAAGAAAGGAAAAGAAACATCAGTGTGAGAGAGAAAAACATCGATTGGTTTCGTTTCATAACTGCCCTAACTGGGGACCAAACCTGCAACTCAGACATCTGCCCCGAGAGGGAATAGATCCAGCGACCTTTCGGTTTGAGGGATGACAACCAATCAACTGAGCCACACCAGTCAGGGCAGCCCACCAAATCTTTAACATTGAAAATGACCCAGTTATCTAACATAATTTGAGTAAATTATGCTATGGTTTTTGAAGATTGTAAAGATGCCACAGACCTATTTCTTCTAAAACATAAATACTGATATGCTGATTATCAGAAAAGGAAAATTGGCTATTAGTTTTTCAGTGATAAAAGAACTTTACTTATAGAGTTCATAATTTTGGTAAATAAAATTTATGATTTAATGAACATTGATTTTGTTTTTTTCCTTGTTTTAATCTTTATTTTATATGTTTATTTACTTTATTGTTGTTCAACTACATTTGTCCCCATTTTCCCCCCACTACTCTTCCCTACCCCACCCACCCCCACCTCCCACCCTGGATCCTACCCCTCCCCCCACCAGCGTCTCTGTCCATGGGTCCTTTATATGTGTTCCTTGATGACCTTTCCCCTTCTTTAGCTTGTTACCTCCATCTCCCCTCCCCTATGGTTACTGTCTGTTCTTTATTTCGATGCCTCTGGTTCAATTTTGCTTGCTTATGTATTTTGTTGATTAGATTCCACTTATAGGTGAGATTATATGGTATTTGTTGCTCACTGCCTGGCTTATTTCACTTAGTATAATGATCTCCAGTTCCATCCATGCTGTCACGAAGTGTAGGATCTCCTTCTTTTTTTCTGCTGTGCTCCATTGTGTAAATGAGGTATTCCACTGTGTAAATGTACCCCAGTTTTTTGATCCATTCAATTACTGATGGGCACTTAGGTTGCTTCCAACGCTTGGCTATTGTAAATAACACTGCTATGAACATTGGGGTGCATAGGTTCTTTTGAATTGGTGTTTCAGGATTCATAGGGTATAATCCCAGCAGTGGGATTGCTTGGTTAAAATGCAGTTCCATTTTTAGTTTTTTTGAGGAAAGCCCATAGAAATTAAGGAAGACACTATTAAATGGAAGCATATACCGTGTTCATGGATTGGAAGAATTAACATCATCAAAATGTCCTTACTACACAAAGCAATTTATAGATTCAATGCAATCCCTATAAAATACCAATGGCATATTTCACAGATATAGAACAAACATTTCAAAAATTTATATGGAACCATAAACAACCTTGAATAGCCTTAGCAATTTTGAGAAAGAAGAACACAGTAGGAGGGATCACAATACCTGATATCAAACTACATTACAAGGCCACTGGTTTTGTTTTTAATGCAGATGTTTAAACATTCATTGTACTAAGAAACTTTATGTATGGCTAAGCTGTAATATTAAAATAAACTACACCTTCACAAAATGCCAAAATTATTAATTGATGTGATAATACTGGTTGTAGATTGCTTGGCTGCTTTCACCTACGTGTGTAACAAGGTTTTCTCTAATAAAAATTTGAAAAAGTTATGAGCAGATGACCATGTTATATGAGCAACAAACTATGAAAAATGAGCATGTATGAAAACTTTACTTTTGTTATCAAATAAGATTTACAAGCAGGTAAATCTGTACATTTCATACATGCGTAATTGTTATTGTTCTGTGAGGTAATTAGGCATAAATGCTAAGGAGTTCATGTAACTCACTATAATTAGAATGACTTTTATGCAGCCAAATCAAGCATTTCTGGAGTCAGAGAGAGGGAGAATTAAATGGAGTATGGAGCTACTCCGAAAATCTCTGTTTCCATTAATTGGGTGTACAGATTGCCAGATCTTTTATCTTTCAGGGGAAGAAATCATAGCCCAGGAGACTTGGGAAGGGACAGGGATCACAAATTCTTTTCCTTTTTCTCCTGCTCTCTACAAAATAATTTTCAGCTTTTTCCTGTGAGAAATTATTATTTCCAATTTCTTCATA